ATACAGGTCCTCAGACTGAGGAAGTCTCTTGGATGAGAGACGAAACGTTTCTACATTTTTTTGTTTTGTTTTCTTGTTTTTTGAATGTCCAGAGGACCAGATTGAACTTTTTTGGATTTTTCTACCTGGATTATTGAGCATGCATCAGGATAACTGGAAATAAAGTTCACATCTTAAAACCACAGAATCTACTGAGAAGTGTTATTTAGAAAATCAAACTTTATTGGGGACGTTTAGCACAGCATTAAGTGTTTTTAGATTTATCTCAGGAAAACAAGAAAATCAGTTTAAGAGTGTAAAAAAACTTTTGATTTACACATAATTGCAAGAGACTATAACTTTCTGAAAGTAAACACAATTGGACCACAGATGCAGAGGCAACAACTTCTTACTTTATGTGGAATGTAAAATATATTGACATTCAATATTGACCAACAAAAATCTGAAACATCTGGACAGGTCAGGTGTTCTCTGACCTAAAAACGTAGCAGAGAAAGGCAGTCGCAGGTAAGGAGAGAATTTCTCAGTTAAGGAGGAAAAAATGGTGTTTTGTCTGGTCAGTTATTTAGGAAATCATTAGTGGGATGAGTTGTTATATTGATGGTCTGTGGAGTGAAAATTTAGAGTAAATTTTGAAACCACCATCCAAAAAGGTTCAACCCATTTAAATAATGGAGTTATCCTCTTCCTCCTTGCATATTATTCTCTTCTCGTCCTCACCGAAGAGACTGTTGAAGAAAGTGACACTTTCTTAAAGAAAGAAACATAAAACAGGAAAAAAAAACCTGTAAACCGCTTAGGACACAATCAATTCCAACCAAAATACAGCATCATAAAGAAAATAAAACAAGCGAACAATGTGAAGATACAAAAGTCACATTGAACCTAAAACCGTCTCTTCCCTGTCAGTTTCTCTCCCTCCCCGTCTTGCGCTGTAAAAGTTTGTGTTCGCGCTGCAGCGTCTCACTCGTACTCTGCGATCAGAACCATCATCCCGACTCCGAACAGCAGGGCCAGAATCTCCATCAGAGACTGACCGAAACTGGAGCGGCCCGCCAGCAGCTCCGGGAGCACCGTCACCGTGGCGATGTAAACAAATCCACCAGCCGTGAAGGGCAGGATCCAGGCGGTGGCCGCTGCGCCCACGCCTTCAGCCAGAAGAGAGCACGCTGTCCCGGCCAGAGCCCCCACAGCTGTCAGCAGCTGGAGACACATCGCCTGATAAAGAAGAGGAACAACATTAATAAATTAATTGCTGTTAAATAAATGGATGTAAGAGCCATTTTATTTTCATTTAACTAAGATACATAAACTAAAAAAATGGAGAGGGGACTTGTTTTTTAGTGACACAAAATAAAAATAAATTGCAGTTACTTTGTTTGCTACTGCACAAGTTTCAACCTAACAAGTATTTATTTCTAAAGAGCAAGTTGTTAAAGTATTTTTACAGGCTTAAATATAAATAAGACTGAACAATAGACACTATTGACACTAAGTGTCCTTGGGTGTCATGAAAGGTGCTTTTTAAATAAAATTATTATATTATTATTATTACTATCCTGACTGATCAACGTCACCAAACTAATGATTTAAACTAATCTAAAATTTAATATGAACAATACTTAAACAAAGTGTGGGAGAGAGAAAAACATTTACAAAATATTGAAATCAGATATTTTTTCTAATAGTAGACTCAGTAATAAAAGGTGAATATGTCCAAATTAGTTTTAAAATGAGAATTCACCAATTCACTGTAATTACTCATTTGTAATTATTGTACTGTCTTTAAGCTTATAATAAATTTTAAATGTTTGTATATGGTTGATTTGTTCTTTGCACAGAATACTAATGAGTAAAAGTTATTATTTTGTCTCATCATTTGCTTAGTTCTTTTAAAAAGTCTAATTTTGTCATAGCAGAGTCTTTTGTTTTCTCATTTATTCATTATAATCTTGTTCTTGCTCGTTTATGGTACAGAACCATGGTTGGACTCGCTGCTGATTTTAAGTACTTTATAAATAAGGTGATGTAACGTATGGTATAGTCTAAGCAGTTAACTACCTTCCTTTTAGTGCAGCCAGACTGTACAAGGATAGCAAAGTCCCCGATCTCATGTGGGACTTCATGCAGCAGTATCGTCAGGGTGGTGACGAAGCCCACAGCTGGTCCGACCAGAAACGATGCTCCGATCGCCAGGCCATCGGTGAAATTATGTGTAAAGTCAGCTGCCAGGTTCAGATAACCTGACACCTTGATATCTGTTTCAAAAATAAGTAATAAAACAAGATTACACAACAGTAACGGGTCATAAAACTGCAGTTCACAATCTGACCACCAGAGGACGCTCCTGCGCTTCCTACCATCAGACCTTCTCACCTGTGCTCTTGTTCTCCTCCACTTTCTTAGGTACTTTAGCATCTTTGTTTCCTGTCTCCTTTTTCTTCTTTTTGTCCATCTCATCTTCTCCACCACTGTCTTTTTCTTTGGGAGCAGCTGCTACATTAAAAAAAAGAGTTCCTTATAAAATGAAGCACTGACAACATCTACTAAATGCACCACAAAAATAATTTAAATAGCAAAGTCGCATCTTCTAAATACCATAACTTTTATAATCGTATTGGTAACTAGATGTTAAAAGTTCAATGCGTTGAATCTAGTAACATCTAATGACCAGTTTGCACACTCCAGTTAACAAAACTAAAATGTCAACAACAAAAAGTTCCTCTATGGAGCAACTGATAGGTTTTATCATTTCTAGGTTACCATGGTAACATGATGGGTATAAAAAGGATAGCCAATTTAAGATAAGAAGAAATCTAAAAAAAAATTGTTTTTTTTCCTCCTGCAATTCTAAACCAAAGAAAATATTATTAGGAGAATATCAAACTGCAGTTCTGTCACCAGACATCTTAAGCACTGGAACTAGAATAGAAAACATCTGTAGCAGTTAAACAGCTAGAAAAAAAAATAATAATAATAATTTTTTTGATTAGGAATTATTCCAGCGTACTGTGAGAGTGGGAATGCCCGTGGCCATGTCCTCCTTTTAGCAGACGCACAAATTTTTCAACAACAAGGAAGGCGATGATCCCACCGAGAACCCACAAGCCTACAGACATCATGTGACCGTGGGCCGCTCCTGTGCAGGAAGGGGACAGGGAGAACTGGTTGGAGGCACGATACATGTTTTAATCACCAAGATAAAAAAGCTGTGATTGCATACCATGAGAGTGACCATGGTCGTGAGAGTCTTCACTTGCATGCGAGTGTCCATGATCTCCATCACCATGATGGGAGTGGGGCTCTGTGCAGAACAAAATGGGGGGGAAAGCATTAAATGTCAAAAAGATAAATTAAAGATTATAATGTTGTGCCATTTCAAATATTTAAAACTGACGTTCAAATGCACAGACTGGGCTTCTGTATTCAAAAAAACAGTGAACAAGATTTGAAAACTGTCTCTAACTTTATTTAAGAACTAAAGAAAAATTACTTGTATCCGACTACACAACATGAAAACCATGTCAAGTATTAAAATAGGAGGGAAATTAGAGTATTTTCCACTTTGTACATGTGCAATAGCTTAATAAATGCTTTTTTTATTTATGTCAACCATAAAATTATGTCAAGCAGCAAAGTTCCTACCAAGAGCATGAGGTATGAGGTGGAGGAAAGCATCACCCAACAGACCACCTGAGGCGAAACTCAGCAGCACCTTCAGCAGGTTCTGGTGTTGGTCGCTGTTGGACTGAACTGGGATCAGAAACAAGATGAGGAAAGGAGCCGCACTGATCAGCAGAGTGGCGCCGACAGCCTGCAGATAATGATGAAAAGAAGTTTACTGCTGTGCAGTTTTCCAGCCAGGAGGAAATGACAAATTAAAATCTAAAGTATTAAGAAAAAACAGGAGAGAAGAAATTTATGGGAAAAGGTCACAAAGTTTTTGGATTTGTAAGATTAAATCTGATGCTGTTATTGATCGGCATCCATTAAAACACAATACAATAACAAAGCTGAAACAGATTAGCTTAAGTTAAGATTCCAGACGTTCCTTTGCTGCATTTGACAACATGTGGACAAAGACTTTTTAATAGCACAAGTTCAGCTGCTTCGTTTTCAAATATTGCCAGTCTCATATTTTATATATGCTGGGGGAGCGGTGGCGCAGAGGTTAGAAGATGGGCCTGTGATCAGAAAGTCGCAGGTTCACCTCCCGGTACCGTCAACATCAAAATGTGGGTAGAAAAGGTGAAACACCCACACCTCCCTCCACACTCATTGGCCCCCCTCTGGGCCCTTGAGCAAGGGCCTTAACCCCCACCACCTGCTCCCTAAACAGGTCTCTCTTGAAAATGAGTTCTCATGACTCAATGAGACTACCTGTATAAATAAAGGGTAAATAAAATAAAATACCACAAACCATAAAAACTTGAATTCATACCAAATCACAAATTGTAAGAATTTGTTTCAGTCTTTTGAACAGACGCACAATTTTAATTACCTACAAATAAGAACATTAGTCCGCTTAAATATCACTGCAAGAAATAATACCACCCCTCCTATTACTTAATAATATTTTAAACTAAATATGAAAAATAAAGATTTATCAGAGTGGAGGACAGATAAATGCGTTAAGACTAATACTCCTGTTCATTTGAGCACACCTGTGTCCAGAGCTCCATCAAGTCCCTCTTCTCTCCTTTAACTTCCCTCTTTATCCTCTCAGCTTCGTCTGAGTGCAAATGTCCATGATTGTGATCATGTGCGTGTCCATGATCATGTGTGTGTCCATGATCATGCCCGTGTCCATGATCATGTGTGTGTCCATGATCATGCCCGTGTCCATGATCATGCCCGTGTCCATGATCATGCCCGTGTCCATGATCATGCCCGTGTCCATGATGCTCCTCTTCTTGGTGAGGTAGGTTGGCCTCCGCGCTCCACTTGCTCGCTCCATGGAACATCTTCACCTCAGGTTCGTGAGCGTGTCCATGGTGATGACCCTCTCCATGGGAGTGGCTGTGCCCGTGATCACCATGGGAATGGCTATGCACAGAGGAACATTGAAAGGCTAACAGCAGTACTACAGAGGTGACCAGTGTCAGTGCCAGCACGCGTGCACATCCCATATTACTCTCTGTAACAAAAAAGGCAGACAAAAATGAAATGTTTCTAGAAATCTGAACTGTAAAACATTTTATGGCCTTTACTTAGGTGCAAAAAGAAAAGTGTATGTACCTCAATACTCAATGTGCATTAGGTAGTTTTGATTTTTTTTTAACTACTATGTATTCAAGGTGCATTTAAAATATCAAATGTAACAAAAACATAATTGTTGTTTTGCTAAAATAAATCCCGTTATCTTAAGATAGGCGCTGATCTGTCCCTTTCCACTTGTGTGATTTGTTTTAACCACGGCTGGTGTTGCAGTGAGACGAGCATACAGCTACAGAATACAAGTTCGTTACGTTTAAATGGCAGAGTCACCGTTTTTATTGCTTCCTGCATGTTTTACTGTTGGCTTTCATGTATTTCTATCAGTCAGGAAATCGTGCGACTGTGTTTTTAAAAGACAACCTTGCCCATAGATTTGGAAAGTTTTTGGAAAATATTAGAAATGTGTCCCAAACAGCTTTATTTTCACCTAACTGGGAGGGTAAATGCAGCTGTCACTAAATAAATAATTTTTCTCAGTCATGTGACTCGAGAAGCATCAGTTCTTTATCAGGTCAGGGATCTTTCTTGATGCTAAAAGTAAAATTATTAAAACTTAATCAAGAACACATCACTAAGCCACTCTGATTGGGGCTTTTCTTTTAAAAAACAACAGTTTGTGCAGCATTTAGAAACCATTGCTGCAGAAAAGTTGTTTATTATGCGATTTGATCCTAAACTTTTCACACTGTAACGCTGTAAAACACTGTTACAAACATACCGTGGTTAAACAAAGCAGCTGATGTTAGCACATGCTTTATTGCGCAAGTCTTTTTAATGTTTATGTAAAACACATTAACGGTTTCCGATGTTGCTAGCTTTGTATTTTGATTGTTTATCTAAAGATCATGGCTTCACACAGGATGCAGGCTAAGCAGATAATCTTCTTGATTTTCTTTGAAAACAGTCTGCGTTTATCTCACAGTAAACAGTGAAAGCAGATGACCAAACACTAACACCAACTTCAACAAGTTCAGAAATCCTGCTAGCATGCTAACAGCCAATAGCTAGCCAGTAGCTGTATGATCATCACTACAAAAAGCGGAATATGGTTATAAAACAAATTGTTTAATCTTACCAAATAGTGTCAAATATCACGGTTTGTTGTACCAGCAATCAACGTTTTGTCTTCTGTGCAGAAGTGCTAATATTTACTGTTAACGTGATACTTCCAGTCAAGACGTGGCATTCAATGAATCAACCTAGCTCGTCGAAATCTCGCGAGATTTCCCGATTTTACCCGTGCTCAGTAAAGTTGAAAATATATTGGATATTTCTTTCACCGTATAAACAGTTATCTCTAGAAGATGTTTAGGTTCATGCAAGGTGTAAATTTTACCCGTGACCCGTGGATAAATGAGATAAATGAAGGCTAAAGGGAGCCCAAGTAAAGCTCGCGAGATCTCTATTCTTTGATGAGCTCATAGGCGCAGCACCAGTTTCACTTTACTTTTATCAGTTTGTGATGTGTTTCAATGAAATGGTCAAGAAACATAAGATTTCGACTGAGCTACAATCCCAGAAATATTTTAAGTCGTAAACTTTTAAAATACAATCATATTTGTGTGTGTTAAACATAATGGTACTTCCTCCAGTTATTTAACCGTCAACAATGGTGTACCACAAGGCACAGTCTTAGGACGCACCCTCTTTACAATCTACATAGGTAATGTAGGTCAGAGCATCCTTGACGCATCCTTTCATTTCTATGCTGATGACACAGTTGTTTATTGTTGAGCTAAAACAGGTAATGCAGACATGTTCCTGTTTTTAGTTTTTCTACATTCGCCTTATAATCTAGTTGTTTTTGTTACATTTTTTGCCATCTTATCAGAGTCAGAGATTATTTATTGTCATTCGCACCTCATGTGGTGGAGTGAAATTATGTACACAGGGTCCCAGTTACATCCAACAATAAAATGTATAAGAAAAACAATGATAACATCCAAGATATTAACTAAGAAAAACATCACCTAAATATACACTAAGCACTAATAGCATAAAAACATCACGTTGAACATCAGCACAAACCTGAACACGAGTCTAAGCAGATGAGAAAGCATGAACACACCAACATTGAAACAGATCAGCAGCAACATGATGTGATTTTTTTTCACAGTGATTATTCTGGTGTGAGATTCATGAGTCTAACAGCCTCAGGGTAGAAGCTGTTCCTCAGTCTAGTGGTTCTACACTTAATGCTCCTCAACCTCCTTCCTGAGGGGAGCGGAGCAAAAAGTGTGTGTGCTGGGTGAGTGGGGTCCTTCATGATGCAGATGGCCCTCTTCCTGCATCTGAAGTGTAGATGTCTGTGATATGAGTGTGTGTGTTATGTGATGTGTTATTTGTTAAAATATATATATATATATATATAATAATCTGTATGCCTTTGATAACTGTCTATTGTTGTCGCTGTTGTCCATTGTTGTTATCATTCTTTGTTAAATCAGGTCTCTCTTGTAAATGAGTCCTCGAGGCTCAATGGGATTAACCTGTCTAAATAAAGGTTGAATGAATTTCATAACAATCAAGCAAGCAGCACATGTAATCCACGCAAAAATGCACAGTTTTATCAGATAAAGAAATTGTGTTTGTTTTGAATGTCTTAGACAATTGTGAGAAGTTTCAGTTTTACTTTTGACTGAAACCTAACCTAATAATTTTGTTTAAAATTACATGATAAAACAAAATGTAAATGCAGAAATTGTTGCCTTGCATAAACACTAAAAAGTTGCAATGTGGCTTTATCAGTCCTGCTGAAAATACAGTATTTGTATTCCTTTTGTTGCTACAGCAACATAAAGGGAATATAAATATTGTGTAATGTAACTTTTACAAATTGTATTAATGTTTTTAAAGCTGCATGAACGCAATTAAACCACACAACGTCAGGTGAACTCAGAGAAACGTTGTGAAATGTGCAATACAATGGAAATAATTTCATACATAAATATTAGGAGTTATGTGATATTCACAGGGAGATACACAGTATCTGCCAACACATGGTGGTATCACTGCAGTGCAGATAAATACGGAAGGCGTATCTGGAGGGACACATCTGATTGGACGACAAGAAAAAGGCGTTACTAGAGGGCCTAATCTGATTGGACAAAAAAAAAAACAAGGCGTTATTGTAGCAGATTGCCAGTTGGTGGTCCAAGTGGCGCATACTCGATTTTATGATAAAAGGGCTTGCCATATACATAATAAAACACAATAAAACATAAGTACTTTCGTTTTTGTGTGTGACGCAGCTGCAAACAAACAGGGAAGCGAAGTAATCGATATTTAAATGATTTTATCCTACAAATGTAGCTCATTTAACAGGTAAGTTGTTTTGTTTTACAAACGGGTATGCAACAAAATGCACGTTTACTTTTTAATGCACCGGTTTTTTTGTATTTTTTTACCAACTTCGACCAAGAAACGTGAATGTTTAGTTTCATTTTCTTCCTGAGTCACAACATAAATAGTTTTCTAATGTACAATGCTATGTAGATCATCTAAACTCGTCTGTTCCGTTACGTATGAGACAAAGTTTTCAAAATAAAGTCAGCTGAAGATGCAGATGTGTCGAAATATACCGCGTCATTAAAAACAGATTTCCATTGACGACCATTTTTAATTTGTTGTGCAAACCTCGTTCTGGCCTGGTTTAGGTATTTCTAAAACTATTATATTAATTGTGTTTGTGTAAAAACAATTTGACAGAAAGGTTTTGGCCACACACTGAGTGGTCCTTATTGATTCAACATGTTTTTTTTAATGGAATAATAGTTGATAAATGTTCAACATGCAATACACGCAAATGATGTATTACATTATATCTCTTGATGTTAATTTGTATAAAATTGTTTGTTTGTATTATGAATTATATTTGAAAGCAAAATAAGATGCTTGTACAGTGGAGCAAATCTTTTTATAACCTTTAGTGAAATTAGGTTTGCCTTTTATAACAAATTAAATGGCTGTGGGTTTTTTTTAACTGTTCTATTGGTGCATGACATTGTAAGAAGAAGGAAATTGTTCTGCCTACATTGTTGTTTTTAACTTCAAATAAAGGTAAAATCATTTAAACAATAAATGTATGAATGAGATTTCTTATTTTTATCATTTGCTGGATGTATTTACAGTGCAGATTAAATTGTGTAATGTCTGTTAGCATTTTAGGTAAACTGGGCCAGAAAATGGTTTGTACTAACTCCTAAATTGTAACATAAAATAAAACGCTTTTCCAGCAGCAACCCAGAAATAAACTTCTTTAAACAGCCTTCTTGGAAGGTATTTTTAAATTATTTATAAAGCATAGTGGGATGACCCAGTATATATCTGTAAAAAGTAAAACTTTTTCTGTTATTAAAAACTCAGAAATGTTCTGTATGTAGTATGTTTTCAAGGTTTACTGACTTCCTGACTACTATTGCATCCTGGGAAAACTGAAGTTCTGCTCGTTTTTAAAACAAGATGAAGGGACTTCGTACTCTTCTTCTCATCTGTCTCATTGCATCTTCAGGTAAAACAAATTTGACATTTTTCCCCTTTCTTTTACATAAAACAGTATCTATGCTACCCATAAACTTTCTGTTGTTTTCTAAAAAAAGCAGGATTGAAACAGCCCAGTGGTGCTCGAAAGTTTGTGAACCCTTTAAAGTTTTCTATATTTCTGCATAAATGTTACCTAAAACATCCTCACATTTTCACACAAGTCCTAAAAGTAGACAAAGAGAACCCAGTTAATCAAATGAGATTAAAATATTATACAGTAGTCCCTCATTTATTCTGGGGTTTCTATTCTCAGCCCCCCTGCGTGCGCGCGCAATAAGTGAAAAAATGTAAAGTAGAAATATATATTAAGGTGTTTTAAACCCTTCCCACACTCTTGCAATAGTCTAAACAATGTTTTTAAACTAAATGCTCTAAAAGAGCACAGCAGGTCATGACCTCCGCTCTCGGCCACGCCCACTTCTTCGCTGGCAGAGAGCGGAGATCATGACGTGCTGCAGGAGGGGGGTTCTCCCTGCACCTGTGGGCTGTACACAGGTGCAGCAGGTGCTCATTTAAAATAATTTATTTCAAATAAACAATCCACGCCGCTCATGTGGATAATCCATCAATCAACCAGCTGTGTGTCATGTCCAATCTTACTTTGAAAAACCGTGAAAGAGCGAGTCTGCGAAACTCGAACTGCAAAGTAACGAGGGACTACTGTACCTGGTCATTTATTTATTGAGGAACATGATCCAGTGTTACATTTTTGGTTGCCCTTTGCCAGGACAGCAGCAGACCATAAATATATTAGGAAACTCAGCCAAGGAGCCTAACTAATGTTTAGCTAGTAACTGTTGTAATTAATGGAAACTGCATTTCAAAGAACATTATATTATTTTCCAAAATTTAATATTATGTCATATTGGCTTATAAACCACTGAAAGTGGGACCTTTTTATCTTTTGTCTGTCTTGTCTGTTACATATGCTTAAATATCCTGTTAGAAAATCATTTAAAATTTACAAAAAATACCTGTGCTCTATATTTTATGGGTAAAATATATCAAAAGTGAATTGTCTTGAGGTTTACTGGCAGTTTGTCAGGATGTACCTTGTGCCCAGTGACCGTTGGAGATAGACACTAGCTCTCGATGACCCTGCACAGAAAATCAGGTAAAGAAAAGTAATAGAATATTTAATTAATATTCATGCACCACAGAAGAAGTTTGAGCACACGGGAGATGAATTAAAACAAAAGCACAGGGTGTCTGAGAAACAATAAATGTGAGGACAGAAATATATGTTTGAATGAAAGCAGAGCGTGTGAAGAGTAAGAAATTATGAAATTATACATTCAGGTTGGGAACGTTTGTAACTATTTTTAATATCCATCACTTTTACAATTGGCGACTGCTTCGTTCTCCTAAAACCGCCTTAAATCTGATCTGGTAACGGCTCAGCACTAAAACAGAATACAGTCTGCTGTGTGGAAGTCAATTCACCACAGCAAAAACATTTTATTTATGCATGGTGACATTATTTTTTTATTGCTCTATAACGTTTGTTTTTAAGAGAAAACATTAAACTACATTTTTCATCTTGTGCTTGTTCAACAGCATCACACTCCCTATGGTTTAGCCTCAGTGTTGCCTCAGAAATCTCAGAAATGCCTGAGTTTTCGGCTTCTTTAGTAGTTGATGGAGTTAAAATGGGTTATTGTGACAGCAACAGCAAAAGCGTAAAATCTCTAACGCCGTGGATTAAAAACCTATTTGAAGATTATCCACTGCATCATCAATGGTTGACAAACAAGTGTTTAGGAAACTGGTATAACTTCAGAGCCACCATTACAAGTTTGATGATGCGCTTTAACCACTCTAAAGGTAAGAACATGCAACTGTTGTTGATAAATTAATATTGTTCGCATTTGTCATCAAAATACAAGTGGGGCATTTTAGTTTTTAGCATACTGATTGTATGTTTCCCTCATAAAACACTGAAAATGTTTTTGTTCTTCCTCCATGTGACGGTGTCTTCAGGGATCCACACTTTTCAGAGGATGAATGGATGCTATTTGGATGAACAAACTGGAGATTTCAATGCTTTTAATCAATATGGTTACGATGGCAAAGACCTCATCAGCTTTGACCTAGAAACAATGACATGGATCACCCCACAACATCAAACCGTTATCACCAAACACAACTGGAACAGAGATGGAGACGGTCAGTTTTGGAAGTTTGCACTTACAGAAGAATGCAGGCAGTTCCTCCAGATGTATTTGGCGTATGGGAAAAGCTCTTTACAAACACCAGGTAAAGACACACGCCATGCAGTCATAATAACGTTTTTTTAGACTTTCTCAACTTGTTGTCAAATTCATTTTCACCTGTCTGTTAATAATTTGTATAAAAAGAAATTTAATCTGGTTTCCATCTCTAGTTCTGAAATACTCGTGGTTAAAATCATTGTAGCTCATTCTGGACTACTTTCCATTCTTATTCTTTTTTTCTCTGAGTGCAGTCTTCAACACCATTTCACACAACATCCTCATTGATAGAGTATCTGCACTCCCCTGAACTGGTGTCAGTACTAGCTCACTGGCCATTTTCAGTTCATTCGGATCAGTTCCTTGAAGTCTCAGCCATTTTCAGTAACATCCGGTGTCTCTCAGGGCTCTGTCTTGGGGCATCTTTTGTTCATAGTCTATCTCCTACCCATTGGCCATGTCGATCATTTATACAATGCAACTTTCCAGTTGACGATGACACCCAGTTATTCGTTTCCTACAATACTTTCTGCTCACCTCCCCTTGTGACGGCATTCAGAAAATCAAATTGGTCTCACGCAATAAAGCTTTTAAAAACCAAAACTCTGCTCCATGTATTATCCCTAGAAATCTCCAGGTTAACCACATCATTCCAATTCTTAAACAACTTCACTGACTTCCTGGACACTGGATATAACTGGGTATCATCAGCATAACAATGAATATGTATCCCATGCTGTTTAATAAATGTACCTAATGAAAGCATATATAAGGTAAAGAGTATTGAAATGAAATGTGTCCTTGGTTTCTTCGTCCAGTTTCTCCTTCAGTGTCTCTCCTCCAGAAGACGCCCTCCTCTCCTGTCACCTGCCATGCTACAGGTTTTTATCCTGACAGAGCTGAAATGTTTTGGAAGAAAGATGGAGAAGAGGTCCATGATGGTGTGAACACATGGGAGATTCTTCCCAACAATGATGGAACCTTCCAGATGAGTGCCGACCTGGACATTTCATCAATCTCACCCGAGGATTGGCAGAAGTTTGACTGTGTATTTCAGCTTTCTGGTTTAAAGGACAGCATCACTACCAGATTGGATCAATCTAGGATCTCTACAAACTTTGGTAAGACCCAGGTGGAAAGACATTAATTTGACTGTTGAAGGACGAAGAAAAAATGATAAAATTGTATGCATTATTTTAATTCACAACCAATCATAACTGTTTACATGTTTTTATTTCCAGAATCTCCATCAAGAAAACTCTTTGTCCTTATCTTTGGAATTGTTCTGTTTTTTTCTGAGCTGGTTTCTGTTTTTGTGTTGGTCTTCATAAGAAGGAACAGAAGTGGTGAGTAACATTAATGTTTCTTAAGCACTAGCCACAAAAATCATTCTCAGATAAACATCTTATTTGGGACATAAAGAATGTCTTTTCATAGGGTAACACTTGTTCTGAATTTATTTTGTGGTATTTTATAAACTTCATTGTTTACTAATACTAAATTGTTGTATTTTTTTGTTTGTTTGTTTTAGAATGATATTTTGAAAAGCAAGACAAAAGTTCAGGTGATGATGAACTGGGCCAGTGCAAGTGTGGCAGAACTGGTTGCTGCTTTGCAGAAGCTGTTTTCACAAACTGAATCTGGAATAGACTCAGTATATAGTTTTGTTTTTTTATCTGTCAAATGTACTAATAGGCTTAAATGGATTCTAATTTTTATTTTTATTTTTTTGTCCTTCAAAAATACTGAAAGTAAGCTTTTTGGCTGCAAAGTTATTTTTAGCACTTTATCAATCCCAGTAGGGGATAAAACAATATAAAATAAAAGATATAGATATAAAGAGAGTATATTACTATTATCAAAAGAGCAACAGTATTTAAACAGCATTATAGTCAGTGGTGGCTCCTGAGCAAAAATATTAGTGGGACAGACATTAATTTCCTGAATAACTAATTACACAAGTTTTACAAATTTTGTAAAAAAAAAAAAAAAAAAAAAGGTATATTTTGCGGTCGAGGTTGTTTCGTTAAAAACAGTCCAGTCTAAAAAAAATCAGAGAAACAGACACCCCCCCCCCCCCACACACACACACACACATCCACCCTCATCTGAAATGGGAGTATTTTTTAATTTTATCTGTTTAAAATAAAACAGACAGGTACACAACTTTCTGGATTGGATTTCTTATTTGATTTGAAGTAAAAATTCTGAAATAATACTCCAGATTAACATTTAAATAGGAGGAAAAAAGTTATGTGAAGTAACTAAAAAACTTATAAAAGTGAATAAATTATGGTAAAAAACATAATTATTCTAATTATTGATCCATGCTGGTATTGGACCCACAAACAAGATTACAAGGCTACTGATTTTAATTTTGTTTGTTTGGGTCTCCTCTGTCTGTTCCAAATGGATTTAGGTTTCTTCTGTTGGACACAGCAGGTTCTGCTGCAGCTGCCGTATTTTCCGCCATATAAGTCACAGTCTTTTGCATAATTTGCATGTCCTGCGACTTATAGGCCAAAGCGACAAATTTATGGATTTTTTCCTATATTTATAAACCATTTTTTGGCTGAGATATGACTGTTTTCATTCATTCTGACTGAAATAAAAAGAACCGTACTGCTTTCAGCCACTTGATGGCAGCAGAGTAGTAATACGAGTATGGCATGCTGTTGTATCATGTAATGGGTAAACGTGGCTATAATGACAAATTCAAAAAAGTTCAAGACGAAAACAACAGGATTTTATTTATTATACTTTATTGTTTTTTCGTGAACTTTTTTGAATTTACCATGTCCTGGATGACTGAGAATCTTCACCAGCTATTAATGACTCAGTCGGCCTGCCTTAACCTTCCAACTTTCATTCTGCTCGCTGCTTGGAACCGTCAAAACAGCTGCACCGCCTCGGCGAAATGCAGCTAATTTGACTATTAAAGTGGATTTATTAAGCAAATATTAGACTGAGACTCATCTTGGCTATAATTTCGAGCAAACATAATTGTTTTTAAGTGTTAATCTTGCTAAATTCTTGTTAAAGTGCTCCCGCGCACGCTCCTGCCATTTGGCAGCCCATCGGTTTTTGGTACACCGGTCCACATTTCCGGGTCGTCAGCGGTAAGGCGTAACAAACGCGATGTGTCAGCGGCGATGCATAATAGATGCAACGTATACGACGAAGCGACATATTTATGGATTTTTCCAATTTATTAGACAAATATGGACTGATGCGACTTATAGGGCGGTGCGATGCGTACGGTGGAAAATACGGTATTCCTGCATTTGATGTTCACGTCAGGTTTGCTGTTAGTAGTGGTCATCAGCCGAATGTGTCCACAGGGCAGAAACATTTATGCTCCAAACGAGACACCGTTGGAGCTGGCTGTTCATATCACTGCTGACAGGATATGATAAATACAGTATTAATGATAAAGCCACTTGATGAACTTTACTATCCCTAAACAGTAAAAAAAGTAAAAAAGTTGCGAATGAATCAATAAAAAATATTTAAAATTCAGTTTAAAATTGTCAAAATAGTTGAAAAACAGAGCAAAACAATAAACCATGAGCTCAGTGAATAAGTGAATTGCATTGTTTATTAGGAGGAACTACTTTGTGGGGCAAATTAATGTTTAAGGTGAGGGCGCAGCCTCTATGTACCCGCCACCACTGACTATATTGCACACGTACATGGCAACATGCAGCAGGAGGTGCTAGAGAAAATACCAAGAATATACTGATAATATAGCTTTATCTAAGTAATATCAACGAGAATCTGTGTCCAATTATCTTGGCTCCTAAAGTGTTTGCAAACAATTTAATCTCAACGTCAGACCTGCGGCTTTTCTCAATGGGACGTTTGAAATAAACTTCAAGGACGTCACTGTCACAAAATACACCAACCAACTGCTGTGGACCCATGAGGCACCGTTAGGGACTGACATTTAAATTATTAGAAGTTTTAGTTGTTCTTCTTCTTTCGGCTGCTCCCTTCCTCGGGGGTCGCCACAGCGAACTAAGTCGCACAAAGACTTGGCGACTGTTTTTACTCTGGGTGTACTTCCTGACACAACCACAGACCACCGAGCTACCGCAGCCCTCTCTGTGTGGAGCAGATGGTCATTTATTTTATTTTAGTTTTAGTTTTTGCTTAGTGTTTCAGTTATTTCATAACCAAGTCAGTATTTCTGATTTTTATTACTACGGATGCACAGTTTTTTTCTTTTGTTTTTGTTTATTTGGGTGTTTTTTACTGTTATTAGTGTTGATGAATATGTACGTTAAAATAATATTGTAACCTCAGGCAAACCTGCAGGGAGAAAGATGACAAGTTAAACTAGAAGAAGACACTACATTTGCTTAAAAACGTACCAAGATACAGTCATAAATATCTGAAAATGGAAATGGTCGGTATTTCAAACGGCTCTATAATCAGCAGAACTGGGCAGCTTCCATGAGACGATTAGCCTGAACAAATTATACAATATTTTGAAACTATGATTTTGTTGGAGGTATGAAAAAACTTAATTTCATTTTCTTTTGCAAATGAAATCTCAAAATCAGCATTTCATTTTTAATCATCTTTCAAGTTTTAATCTCTTACAATGAAATAGTTCAATCAAGACAGAACTGCACAATGTGTATCATGTATTATATGTATTAAAATACAAATATTATGTATAATGCAGTCACTTTAAAGGGGGTGATTTTTATTGTTTAGTTAATATTTAATGTGTTTTCTTCAATAGTGGTTTTCTCGTTGCCACTCGTGTAATTATGCAGGCACCAATTACATATTTTTATTTATTTGGTATTTATAGAAATATCGTTGTACTTTGCTGTTGATAAGTGTTTTTGAATGTTTTTGTGAGGAGACCTGTTTTCATTGATTGATGACAGCAATAAAAGCGAAAAACTTGTTTTTATTAAAGGTACTGTAAATTCTAGTACTTTTTTTTCTCATATTTTAATTTTTTTTATGAGAAACATAACTGTCCACCATCATTTTAAATCAGACTCCTGTCTTGTCTTTTTTATCTTAATGTCAACCAGTTTTCTGTTTCAAATGAGGAAATATCTTCCATTAAATGGTACGCATTTCATGTTGTGATGTGTTTGAACTTCAGCAACAGGAAAGTAGAGACAAATAACTAAAAGAGAAAGACAGGAACAGATCTGTACATGCTTTCAATAAAATATTATGATAATTCAAGAGGTTTTGTGGTATTTGCTGTGGTGAACTTTGGACTTTAACATCAGACAAGCAAAGACAAAATGAGAACAAGCAGGATGAGACTTTCAGGACATTATATACAAAAAAAATGCTTAAAATTTCTGCAAAATACATTAAAATAAGTTGAAATTTTATATTAATGAGTTGGAAACGTGTATTATCCAAATGAACAGCATTTCAGTCACACATTAGCTTTTATTTACATGTTATACAGTCTAGCAGACCACACCTCAAGTTTTTAGAAGAAGGAAGAAAACACCAGGAAACATTTTTGGACTCGACAAACAAGTTAAACAGCTGTATTTGAACACCAGTAATCATTTTCACCTCGGCTGTCTATGCAAGATGAATAGGATTGTGATGCTGCTTTTTCTCTGCCATGCTGCTTACGCAGGTAAAACACACCCAGATATTGTAATTTTTAACCTTTTCCGTGATTAAATTATTAAAATTCTTATTATTTAGAGTTTTTTGTTGCTAATCAACAGTTTAAAGAACAAATGCAAATTAAGTAAATACCCAGCCGTAAAGCTATATTTTGTTGTAGATGTATTCTGTAGTTAAAGTCCTTAATATAATGTCCCGTCAAGAATATGTCTGCATGCACAAATGTGACTAAAAATAAAACTAAACAAATTTAAGAGACTTGTTTAATGTAGTAAAGTCAACTCAAATTTAAAACTTGATAAATGGAGTACCTAGCATATAGAAGGTTTTAATTAAGTCTAAATATTATCTGAATAGATCAAATATAAAATATTTGTGTGAAGTTTCTAATTGTTAACCAACTTGTTCACACACACAAAATTTGGCTCCGCAGTGAAACACTCGCTGAAGATTTTCTTCACTGGATCTTCTGGACTCGAAACCCTCCCAGAATTTGAGGCTGTTGGAGAATTTGACACCATCCTGGCTGTGTACTGCAACAAAAGCACCATCAGGGCAACACAAGACTGGGCCAAAAAAGTCCTGGATCCTGGTCACGAGCAATTTAAATTTCTTGAAGCATGCTGTTTCGTCTCTATGCCCGCTTTCTTCAAGTTTGAAATCGATGAAATAAAGCAGCACTTCAACCAAAGTGCAGGTACAGTGTGTTTATTGTCATTTTACACAAACCCCATTGTTCCTTGAGATTAGCTGAATTATTAATCAGCTGCTGTTTATACAGATGTTAACATCAAACAGATGTGTATCTTGCTTGTTCCACTCCAGTAAATAATCAGATTTTTACTGATCAAAATATTCTTAAAATTCTTCTTGTTGATATATTTTAATGCCTCTTCATGTCTAATGTGACAAGAAAAGAAGCGTAAGTACAGTAGGCCCTAGTCTCTCTCTTCTCGCGGGGGTTACGTTCCAGACACCTCCTGTGATTAACCCACGAAGTATGGACGTTATATTTATTTTCGTATTTATCAATATTTTTAAGGCTTTATACATCCTTCCCACACTTTTGCAATGTTCTTAACAATGTTCTAAATGCTCTAAAAGAGCTCAGCGAAATGGACAAAGACTCAGTTCGAGCCACGTTTGATTATTTTAAATAATCCATGCCGCTTGTGTGGCTCTCTCAGGTATAAGACAGACCCCGCCCCCTCCTTTCTTTTTTCAAGGCTGGCTGTTGTGCACTCGCCTGTTGTGTGGCTCTGCTGTCTGCTGCTTCAGAAAGAGAAAGGAGGGGGTGGGGGTGTCTGTCTTGTACCTGAGTGAGCTGCACTCAGCCACTCTCTCTCTTAAAACTGGTTCACTCTTATTTTTCCACCTAAGCATTTTCTCCCAAGTTCTCTATTTGTTTCATCTGATCTGTTCATCCCTGCTCCCTGAGCAGTAGTGATGGGGAAAGACAGACATCACCCCCTGCCTCCCCTTTCTCTTTCTGAGGCTGTCTGTCCCAGGTGAAAATAAAATATACTTAAGTATAATGATATTTAAGATATTAAATGTGTTTGTGAAATTGTAAGAAAATACGTTGTAAATATATTATTTTGACACAACTTAAGTGTGCTATTTTGAGACAACTTAAATTGTACTGGGTATGTACCAGTTTTATGCTTGAATATTTTATTTATTTTAATTGTATTTATAATGTCTTTGATTCAATGTCTAATAAAATTATTATATATTATAAATATATTATAAGTTTTTAGTAAATACCTTATAAATGCGCTAATATTGAATATAACAAGAGGTTTGTACATTTAAACTTATTTATTAAACACAAAAAGTTACATACAGTACATTCTACAGCAGAGCAGAGCCTCAGAAAGAGAAAGGAGGGGCGGGGTCTGTCTTTCCCCATAAACCAGTCGTGTATAATCCTACGTTGAAAACCCACGACAGAGTGAGTCTGAGAAAGTCGAGCCGTGAAGTATCAAGGAACTACTGTAGTAACTATTGCAACATTTGGAGACTAGTATGTCGTGAGCTTTTTGTGGGACTACAATAAATACACAAAGAAAGATAAACTCATGCCATTTCTTTAAATTGTAACTCCTATTTTCCACAGGCAAAGAAAGTTTATATAAGAAGATTGAATGGGATTCTTTTTTAAACGTCACTTTTGTCATGCATTTGCTTTTATTCCATCCATAAAAGAAAAGGCTTGTGTCTGTCTCTCTCCTAGGCGTCAGTGTTTTTCAGAGGCTTGCTGGTTGTGAATGGGACGAGGAGACTGAAGAACTCACCGGCTTTTTAAAGTATGGCTACGATGGAGAAGACTTGATTAAGTTTGAGCCACAAACAAAGGAGTGGGTTCTTCTGAATCCACAGGCTGCCTTTATCAAACAAAGCTGGGATAATGATCCAAAGGATAAAGAATTTAATTACGACATGATTACTACATATTGTCATATGTGGCTGGACAAATCCTTGGACATTGGAAAAAGCAGTCTTCTAAGAACAGGTGACTGGATGTCCTTTTTTTGCATACAGTAAAATGTATCGAACATTTTACGTATCTATATACTTGTGTAATTTATAGAATCATTTCCATGAATCTAGTGAACTTAATATTTATTTGTATATTTTTGAAGCTCGGATGCAAACGTATAAAGGGCAAAGCCCAGACCCTGCTGTGGTTTCACAAGATTTTATCTGCAGCTGGTGTTTCTGCTGTGGGAGCAGTCTTTCTGCTTGTTTTATATACCAACTGCACAGTGTCCTAAAAATATTATTCAAAAGCCACAATGACTTTATGTTTTTGTGGTCAGTTAGTAGGTTGTAAGGTTTATGAAATAATCAGTGATTAAACTTGGACTCTGACCTTTTCAACATAAATGTGAAATGAGAATCGCAGAAATCAAAGTGGAAAAGTCTCACAATAATTAGCTGCGTGGCACCAATGACAACCATGCAACCAGTGTGGCCAGTTTGATAAGTTCTTAATGTTCTGCCCGACGGTTTAACAAATGGAAAAAGTCATGCAGGACAGCTTCCAGTTGTGAAGTTAAGATATTATGCTAAGGGGTTCCTTAATGTGGGGCAAGTTGTATTAAACAACATATTGCTTTCATTGATATTTTAAATGATAATTTAACTTGATGGGTGTCATAGTGCACCCTCAAAGGGGTGTAAACATGATTTTGTTTGTTTGTTTTTTAATGTTTTAAACATGTTTTTTCCTGCCTGAGCTCTTACATGGGTTGACCCTTTTTAACTGACTTTATAAGCTTCCCTGTTCTTTTATTTAGTTAGAAATTGTTTATTTAAATGCTGATTTTTCCTTTTTATTTTGATATCTCCCTATTCTATCCTTCCTTGTTTACCTTAATTTTATTTATTCCCAGTAACTTCTCTCTTGCTGTAAATGTGTTTCTTTCCTCACCTTTTCTCCGTTCAGATGATCCCACAGTGTCTCTCCTCCAGAAGACCCCCTCCTCCCCAGTCAGGTGCCACGGTACAGGGTTCTACCCCAACACAGCCCTGATGTTCTGGAGGAAAGATGGAGAGGAGATTCATGAACATGTGAAGCATGGAGACGTCCTCCCTAATCAGGACGAAACCTTTCAGGTGCACGTTGATCTGGACATTTCCTCGCTCACGCTTAATGACTGGCCCAGCTATGACTGTGTGTTTCAGTTTTCTGGTGCCGAGGACAAAATTGTTATCAAACTAGATAAAGATGTGATCCTAACCAATTTCGGTAAGAATAAATTTCAATATCTTGTTGAATAATCTGTTAGGCAATGTGTTAAAAATGGCCAGGCTCTTTTTAAAAATGCAAAGGGACGTAGGTGAATCAGGACCCAAATGACAGAGACAACATTTAGTTTAAAATATATATTTTATTTCCATTTAACAATAAAACAACTACATTATAAACTAATGAAACAATTCTTGCTGAGCTGGTCGACTATAATTTTGTACAAGAAAAGACAGTAAAAAGACTGATACATTTATAAACATGAACCAAATGATGAAAATATAAATATAATCAGTCCATGAGTGCACCACCCTTCCATCCATCCTCAGCTCTCATCCACCAGTTTCAGCTTCAGACTGGAGCTCCTGTACCATTCGAACCACTTCAGCAGCCTCACCCCTGACGGCAGCATCCTGCAGGAGACACTGAGCCAGCATCCTTGCTGCAGGACCACTACTTCACCGTCAGCATCCCTGCTGCAGGACCACCGCTCCACTGCCAGCATCCCTGCTGCAGGACCACTGCTTCACCATCAGCATCCCTGCTGCAGGACCACTGCTTCATCGCCAGCATCCCTGCTGCAGGACCACCGCTTCACCGCCAG